GGCCGGGCACAGCCTGGCCCTGGGCCGTGTGACTCGTCCGTTTAGCTGTGTCACCCCTCAAGCAAGGAGACCCCGACCACAGCAGGCTGGCTTCCCAACGCGGTTCCTGTATGTTACTCGCCCTCCCCGCACCCCCACAGGTTACTATACCAAGATGAGATCGGAGGAGGGGGGCACGGGGACCCCGCAGTGGTGGGAACGCGGGGTGAGGCATAGACGCTGAAGGGACAGAAAGTGATTGTCGAGGCCTGAGCCACCCAGATCTCCCGTGCTGGCCAGATACTAGCCGGGAAGGCTCTACACGCTGCCTTTTCCCCAAAGACTGGGACGGACCGACACCTGGGGGACCTGGATGAGAGGCAGTGGCCCAGAGGGCACAGCGTGCCAGGCGGACAGGAACGGCTTTCACAGTCATCCTGGCGATGCTAGCCTCTGGGCTGCGGGCAGCTCTCTCCCTCCAGGCAGCTGGGACATGACCTTAGAGCAGCGGTTCTCAACCTGTGGGTTGTGGCCCCTTTGGCAGTCGAACGACCCTTTCACAGGGGTCGCCTAAAACCATCCTGCATATCAGATATTTACATTATGATTCATAACAGTAGCGACATTACAGTTATAAAGTAGCAACGAAATAATTTTATGGTTGGGTCACAACATGAGGAACTGTATTTAAAGGGCCAGAAGGTTGAGAACCACTGAACTAGAGGCTAGGGACTGACGTGGATTGTACAGCCTCCCTCAGAAGGACGTCGCCAGGAAGGCCTAATGAAACGGTGGCAAACACATGACACAGGAAAGGAAGAAGCAGCCACGTGCAGCGCCCCCGTCTGCAGCCCCTCACAGGAAGCCGCTGGCTGGACCGGGCTGGGCTGTGCACCACATGGACCCTGACGCCCTCCACAGCCGCAGGAAGACAATGCGCTGCCAGGGCTCCCCGCAGCCGTCAGACCGTGGAATCTTGTCGATTTAATCTACACCGCCCGCCCCCAGGGCCGCACAGTGTGTCCGCTCACTGCAGCCCCAAGATGTGGTTCCACGATGATGCCCTGGTCAGCATCTGCTATGAATTCACAACCCTGCCCCGCCCAGTGGGCACCGCTCAGGGGTTGAGCATCGACCTAGGAGCCAGGAGGGCACCGTTGGATTCCCGGTCAGGGCACAGCCTGGGTTGTAGGCTCCATGCCCTGCGGGGGGCGTGCAGGCAGCAGCGGATGCATGATTCTCTCTCATCATTGATGTTTCTCTCTCTCTCCCTCTCCCTTCCTCTCTGAAATCAATACACATAGATTTTTAAAAAGAAAAGAAAGCCATGCTCGCTTGGGCCGTGTTCCCTCACAGGCCGCACCAGCCCCGCGGCCCACGGGGTGAGCTGACACAGGAACACGCTCACTGTGCAGCAACCACTCAGCCGTCCTGGCAACAAGGGTCTTCCCTCCAGCCTGCGGCTCCCCGTTCCCTCCAGGCACCTGCCCACAGGGACCAGGGGGGGAAGGGGCGTCGCTGCAGGAGGAGGGGGCGCTGTGTCATCAGCAGTGCTGCCTGCACTCGCTCTGCAGCCTGTGACTGGGGAGCAGCTGGACTCTGAGGGCCTCCTGCCCCAGCTCTCCTCTGAGTGGTTCCCAGCGGACCCCCCAGCGGACGGGAGAGCGGGCTTCGTCACCACAGCCCATTAGAGGCCGTTCTCCGGAGGCAGGAACTCTGAACAGAGCCGTTTCCTTTCAAGAGGAGATAGTGAGAGCCTCTGGGTTCCTTGGGACAGCTGGGAAGTTGCTCATGAAAAAACGCTCTATGTGCTCCAGGTGCACTTTACGTGGATATTATGGAATCTTTTCCAAGTTTTTTTCATTTCTTCCATTTCAAAGCCAAGCCTACGACACGTTTCAATTTGAACTTTCGGGGTAACTCAGTTGAATAAAAGAGGTTTTGATAGCAGTTGAATAAAAATAGGAGGATCTCCAAAAAGAATGTATCTGATCAATAAATTCCGTTCCATTTAGTAAAGACCCATTGCGGACTGGACCTCTGTGATCACAGACAAAGGAAGTGACGCTGCCCTTGGGGCAGGTCCGAGGAGCCGGGCACAGTTCAGCTCAGTGTGGGCAGGGGGTGGCATCGCGGGCGCCACTACGGGCTGACGGGAGAGGCCCCACGTCTGAGTCAAGGACAAGGCTACACGGGGGACACAGTGCGGACGGGTTACAAACACATGGAGAAGGTAGTTCTCCCTGGCCTCCTGCCCAGCACGCCCCCCCCCCCCCCCACACACACACACACACCACTCAAGGTCATTGGGTTCATTTCCCTCACGTAACAGGTGAAGACATCATCCACGTTAGTGGTTTCACAAATACGTTTTCTAATCATTGGAAAATGCAATGCTCAAAGGAAACCCTAAGAAAACTATTCCAGGTATCTGGGGGTGGTTTTATGTTTACAGTTTAGAATGGACGCTGAATTTCCCAGCCCCCGGGAGGAGAGGAGGAAGCACTTTGGGGGTTCCATCCCTTACACCTGTGCACATGGGGGGTGTCTCCCCAAGATGTGGGTTATTTCCGAGCGATGAAAGAACAGCAACGCGATTCCTTTTTCCTTTCCGACCAGGACGTTGAACTCGGAGCCTTGGCATGTGTTGCTTCTAGAATTAGCATTTAGCGGATATTTGAATGTATTTTATGTTAGCGTTTATGTTACAAGGATCTTCCCTGATGTTGTGTGGAGAGCGTTTACACCTTTAAAGCGCTTTCGCTTTATTATCCACGTGCTCTGAGTAATACGTTAGTTATTTAGCTGCAAAGCGTGTGCATAGACTGACTCTGGGGAAAGTACTGCTCACGGGGGTCAGGGGGCCCCACCCAGGCTATGGCCGGCGCGGGGCACGAGACGCCCATGGACAGCCCTGATCTGCAGCCGGGTCCGGGGCCAAGCCCCTGCGAGCTTCCTGGTCCCGTCTCTGCCATCTCTGCTGCCGCGGCTCCCTTGCTGGGCTGTAGGGCAGGACCATGCCGACAGGGTGAGGAACTCGAGTGTTTTCTCAAATGTTCCTCTTACCCCTCGTGTGGCTAAGACAAGAACGGCTAGTCCACGTGAACCATTCAAAAGGCATTACTAGTCTGAGAGATGGCAGAAACGGAGGCCCTTGAACCAGCTTTCTCATCCTGTTTTGTCTCCCAGTATTAGTGTTGGGCCTGGTAGCTTCGATGTCTCCAGGTGAACGCTGAGGTGTGCCCTGTGGGACCTGCGACTGGACATCCACAGCATCTTCCCTCTGGGAGGTTCCCAGCAGGGAGCGGCCCCGGGACTCCTCCTGGAGGCCTTTCAAATGCGAGTGCTCCCTGCAGCCTGCTGCACCCGAGTGAGGAGCTGGCGGGCTCCCTGTCACCCACCAGCGACGGTGCCCGTGGTCACCAGGCAACTGCAGATGATTTTTGTAAGTGACCAGGTGTCGGCCATCCTCTTCCCAGCTCGTGTCCACAGCTTGCTGACCCTCAGCCTTGCACAGTCTAACAACTAGCAACGCTGCGTGAGTCCACGTCACTCATCCAAAGACCACATCACCAGCACAGGCCCTGTGAGAGGGACCCGCCCACTCAGCATATGACAGAGAAACCACATCACCAGGAAACGTTGTGTCTGAGGGACCCGCCACCCGTAGCATATGACAGGGTCACTGATGCCCCCCGGAGTCCAAGCAGAACTATAACCAGAGACGCGCACCCCACAGGGCACCTTGCCTTGGAGAAACGGGGGGCAGCAGTGGCCCCCGGCCTATGAGGGGATCCAGGGCCCAATCGCCACCAGCACCGCTTATCCCACTGAGTTCAGGGGTGGACACGCAAGGAGGAAGCGCCAGGAGAAGAAGCCAGGGGCCCAGAGGGACTGGCGGGAGAGGTGTGCCCGAGGGCCCCTACCCTTGGTCGCCTGTGCCTTTCCACGGAAAAAGTCAAAGACCTGTCCCTGAAGAGGCGCGAGTCATTGTGTCATTGTGAGCGCAGTAGAGGCGCCCAGAAGGAAGGAGAAGGAAGGGCAGCTGATCCGCATCCGGGAGGCGCAGGAGAGGAGCCACGTGGGGAGCAGAAGCGAATTTTCCGTCATAACCCTGTGATTCACCTCATAAGGGTGCAGTGTGTGTGTTTTCATAGATTTTTATTGATTTCAGAGAGGAAGGGAGAGGGCAAGAGAGAAGTATCAGTGATGAGAGAGGATCACTGCTGTGCAGGCCGATGCTCTACCCACTGAGCCAAGCCTGCGAGGGCAACAAGCAGTGTATACAGTAGGCGCCCACGCAGTGCGGGCTGCCCGTCCTTTCCTCTGGCCGTCATCACGGCCTCAGATGCCACCATTAATCTCAGTGTGCGGCTCCCAGCTGCCTCCCCAGATGCTCCAGGTCGGCCCGGCTTCTGTTGGGTCCCTACTTATGGGTTTGACCCCCGCCAGCTCGCATCTTGAACTTTTCTTTCTTCGCCCAATGGAATCCTTGGGTGTCACAGCTGCAAAGTGGCATTTTATCCTCCACCCCAGAGGCAACTGCGGGAAGAGGAGTCGGGAGCACCTCGCGCATCCCCCGGGGTGCGGGGAGAGGGGGGAGGAGGGGCTCTGTGGGTGCAGGTGCAGCCAGGGGAGCGGGTGCAGCCAGGGGTGCGGGTGCACCTGGGGTGC